AAAAAAAAAAGAAAGAAAGAAAGAAAGAAAGAAAGAAAGAAAAACGATTAGCAAATAGTGATAGAATCTTTCTTGAGCCCAGTGAAGTATTTTTTTAACGTATTAGGGAAAATGTGAGTTTTGCTTATATATATTCAAAGTAAGAAATAAAGTCTGGTGCCAGATTTCAAATCTGAGACATTGAAAGCTGTTTATATCAGTTAAGAAAAGGGGGAAAAAGTGGGAGTGGCAGTCTTCAAATATGCTGAGAAACTCTAAAACTCTCGTGTGGTGGACCAAATGCTGGGTTATTGCAGTTAAACTTAGGAAAAAGTTCACTCTGGACTGATAACCATTACGAGCCACATAATTTCAGATTATGATGTGGTTACATATCTAAGTTGGTTATGTGGTTTATTATTTTCTGGTGCTGAAATTTTTATGCCTTTGTACAGGAATGGTGGACATACGTGTGCATGGGACCATCTGATCCTCATCCTAATTGGCACTTGGGGATGAGGGGAACACAACACCGGGCAGTGATGTGGCGTGTTTGGAAAGAGGGTGGGACGGGATTTCTGTATTGGGGTGCTAATTGCTATGAAAAGGCTACTGTTCCTAGTGCTGAGGTTATATTATCCAGGACATTATTAAAATACTTGTATTGTATTTTGTATAATCTTTAATTATGCATTATACCCCTTTAACGTTCGTCTACATGTATATTTGCCAGATTAAGTTTAGACGTGGGCTCCCTCCTGGTGATGGAGTCTTGTATTACCCGGGGCAAGTGTTCTCATCTTCAGACGAACCAGTTGCTTCATTACGTTTAGAGCGACTTTTAAGTGGGTTACAGGTACTTGTAATGTCAGACTTATTTGCTGTTATGGTATTTCATTGTAGTGGAGTATTTTTATTTTTTTTTCCTGTGTTTCATTGCCTTCATCTTGAAGTTTTGTACTTCTCGAATGAAAATATGAGGGTTGTGAACTGCATGCATGCCTTTCTGAGTGGTCGTTTTATATTTTATAGGGCATGATATATTGGTGGTTACCTATTATAATATGTATCATGCATCTGTACAACCGTACCCAAATCTTTGTTACGACTGGGTTAATTACAGAAAACTGCTCTGTGATTCAGCTTATTATTAAAAAAAAAAAAAATCCAGTTATCTGTCACAAATACATATAATCGCGTCGACTTTTGTATCTTTCCCACAGATTACATCCCCAAGAGTTGTATTCTGGTCAGGTATACATGAATACAATTGGGGGTACTTGCGACACTTTTAGTGGTTGATTAGAANCGGAAGTACCTCATTGAGGGTTATATTTTATGAGTAACTAATCGTAGTCTGTGGTACTCATACAGGACATTGAGTACCTCAAACTCTACTGTTCAAGGTTCGGTAGAGAAGAAGGCTTAAATCTTTTGGAGAAAACGGGAATGTATTTTGGTCCCGAGAGGTACACTCATGAGCACATGCCTATTGATGTTATGCGTGGCGAAGTTTTCCGAACATGCTGCTCTCAAAGTAACTTCTGATTATATCGACTTACTGCACATAAATGTAATGACACACTTAAATGCAGCTTTTGTTAATCTCGACTCCACTCTGAATTCATGAACATATTGTGTTATTCGTGGGTGGATGTATACATTGTTAATAAAAAACTATCATGCATTCGGATTTCGTTTTAGCGTATAGATACAAANNNTCTTTTTCATTAGTTATTTGTTATTTTGTGTTCGAATTTCATCAACACGAAGGATTACTGTTGATCAGCAATGTAGTATGTAAGTTTGCCCGGGAAATGAGAATAAAATGGTGTTTATTAGCCAAGGGTTTTTCAGGTCACCCTGAATCCGAAACTTTGAGGTTAAATCATTTACTAAGATACATGTGTTATGAAATTGTAGGATTTAATATATTTTTGTTCCAATTAATTCGAAAGAGTTTAAGATAGAAATAGGAAAATTTACCAGCCAACATTTAGAAGCAAAACGAAGGTGAAATGAGAAATCAACCGCGATTGGCCCCTTCAAACTTCAACATCTATATATATCTAAAAAGGGAGATGTAAATTTTTTTTTAAAAAAACTAAAATAATTGAGTTGACTGTTTGACTTTCTATTTATGGATTCTCATTAAAAAATTGTGATTGATATTGCGGCTGAATATTAAAAAATCGTTTAACCATTTTGTTCAGGTGTTTATAAATCAGGGTATTATTCATCAATATATTTGAAGATGCACGTGCTTTATTTAGTATCAAAATCTCCTTATTTCTGTATTAGTTAGGGCGTAATACACGCAGCCAAATTAGAATCGGGCGTTTAAAAAATAAAACAGAATCATATCTTTTAGGTTATATCCTAACAAAATCATTCCCCAATTTATGTTGAGATAAACATACATACAATGTGTATAAAAAGGTATTCATTGATACCCTTTTTTATTCACCTCATCAAAACGCGCAACACATCCTCAAAATACAAAATACAAAGAAAAAATTAGGACACCGTTTTGGAACACATCCGACGCCGTCAACAGATCCAAAAAACCTTTTTTGAAGTTGAGAATAGTCCGATTGATTGAAACTCATCACTATCTGGAGACTATGGTGAATCATAGAAATCAAATAAAAACAACATCATGAAAAGAAAATCAACGAGCAAGGAAAATCCATTGCAAGGTAATTTCTACAGCAACTACAAATTGAATTTCACTTTTATTATTATATATAGATGAGCACGACTTTATTAAAAATAATTTTATTGAACATACCTTTGATTTTTGGGATTGTCTTATCTTCATCTGCTAGATGACTGGTTTTGACTGACATTTATGTATAGTTTTTCGTGTTTATCCTCAAAAAAAAAAAAAAATTAATAATAATATTTATTAAGTTTTTATTATAATTAAATCACAATATAAAAAAAATTCAACTTGCATGGTATATGTTGTGCATTACATAATCATTTTGTAAGTGTCTGGTCCATGTTGCTTGAAAAAGATATTTCAGTCATTAGCATGAATACTCACAATTGCAGTAAAATATATTTAACTTTACGTGCTTTTGTATGTCAGACAACACTACAAAATGCAGTCGACCGACAAATCGGAACAGTGTGCAAAGAAAAATATCACATAATGAGAACACGTCACCAGGTATTTCTAAGATCAACAATCTATAATTATTACTTTTGAATCATGCAAGCCTACTTGATTACACATTGTCAATATGTAGCTGGTTTTGAGTTATCAAATGTGAATGTTGATATATTAGTTTAACAAGATTGTACCTTTGAAAACCTTAAGACCTCAAACTGAAGTGTTTTCATGTTATCTATGAAGCTATAAAATCAAAACAGAATTTTCACATTAAAAAATGTATGATTAAGACAAAAGGAGAACATATATAAATTAAGAATAAATTAATAACTCATTACAAGAAACATGAGGATACATTAGTAAGAAAAAGAATTATTCATTTAAACAAAGAGACCAAATTATAAACAAAATGTAATTGCTCTTAGCAATAACCAATTAAAAGATGTTTGTCTCAACTAAAAAGACACAGAAGATCATAATGTTAAATAGTATAATTACATCATTCACTCTTAAAATTATAAACGGACTGTGAATAGAGAATAGAGAACTGAGACAGTGTATACCTTATTTGCGATTCAGGAGGGAGCAACTTGGGAGAAATTCATCCTCAGCCTTCAAATCTCCTGGAAGGTGCTCGGAAGCGGTGGCCGTCTCAGTAACATAATAAGAAATACTAAACAATAACATTTAATCAAATCATTATTTATACCAATTAAAAGAAATACAAATAAGGTAAAATATACCAGAAAGTACAAATTAATATACAAATACTGTATGCATGTCCTATGTTCTCT